CTAAAAATGGAATTCACTCTTAATTTATTGATAATGAATAATTTTTTTTTAATAAAGACATTGTAGGGACAATGTAGCGAATATAATCAATTGATGAATTTGAATTTTGAATGTAAAGAATTTTTATATTGGGGAAAAATAAAGACAATATAACTAATGAAATTATTTCTCTTATTTAATTTATTGATAATGAATAATTTTTTTTTTTTGAATAAAGGCATTGTAGACACATAATTCTAAATAGAGTACTAATTATGCCAACTTTGATTGAGATGGGGTTCGAACCTAAGACCTTTCTTACTGAAATTAATGAGTAAGTTAACGGTGAAGTAACAGAAACTAACGGAAAAGATAATATTTAACAGAAAAGTTAACGGATAATGATATTCATTATGGATAAATTAGGAAATCTCTAAGGAAAAATTAAAATCTGATCATTCTAAGCCATTCATTTGATTAAAAAATTTGACCGCCATTTTTTCTACCCATTATAGGCCTAACTCTCTTGGGCTCTTATTAGTATAATAATAGATATTTACTCTTAATTGGGAGAAGAGACCAATGTTCGAACCTCGGCGGCGGCAGTGTGAGGATTATGCTCAAAGGGCAAATTATTGTGTGGACCATGATTCACACAGTGTTATATGAATCATTACAAAAAGTACATTTTTAATATACTAAATGTGCATTATTTTTGTACTGTATGTACATTATACAATATAATGTACTCAGTATAAAAATAATGTACATCTCCTGAATATAATGTACATTATTTTTATACTAATGTACATTATTTTCGTACTGAATGTATATTATTTTACAATATACAAAATATGGTCCACAGAATAAGCATCCATGTTCAAAGTGGGTAAATCCTTTATACGCACTGACATTTGATCATGTTTGCTAAGCTATTGAGTTACCGTGATTTACATCTTTTCAAATACTCTATTAGATTGGAGTGTGGTGACCTTTGAAGTTGGGGTCAACCTTTTAGGAAGGAATTAAGGATTGCAAATTGACGTAATAACAGGCAATAAGTATAGAAACCGCAATTAAATGGTTTGTAAATGTAAACAAGTAAATTATTAATATGGCCAGCTAAGGATCGGACTAGCAAGTAGCAAGCATTTAATGAAAGTCCAAATTTATTTGAATTTTTAAAAATAATTTATAGAAGAAAAGTCAAAGGAAGAGAAGCCGCAATTCTGGATAGATGCATCAAGGCATGAAATCATGGGAATCGGATCGGAATCAAATAGAAAAGGAATCAACAAAATAAATAAAATAAAATAATAAATAATCACATATACACATTGCATGCTACTAAAATAGTGTGAATCCATCTTAGTTGGTATTGAATATCCCAAACTTCCCATGTTTATTTGCCACCAAATAACGTTTATCTTATACAAGTTATATTAACAAAAGTATAATTTACCTAATATACATTCTCTACTATGTATTTTTTAAGACCTATTCTTTTACAAAATTAATTTAAAATAAATATTTATTTTTAAATATACCTCTAAAAGTCAAAATGCACACAAAATTATTAATTCATACATCTATAAATATATATGTAAATAAATATTCTAACTCTAAAAAAGGATCATGATCATACATGGTCCTAAGATCAAAAGCTTACTTATATCAACCTCTCTATATATATATATATATATATATATATATATATATATATATATATATATTTGCATTTCGATGTGTAGGTGACAAGAGTTGATTAGTTTACTAGACTCGCTAGTCTCAAATTGACCTAACAGAATAAATGTATAATTATAGAAACCTTGTAAATGAAAAGAAGTAAATTATAAATATGGCCAGCTAAGGATGGACTAGCAGGAATTTAATTAAAAGAAAAGTCAAAAGCAAGAGAAGCCGCAATTTTGGAAAGATGCATCAAGGCAGGAAATCATGGGAATCCGAATCAAAATTGAAAAGGAATCAACAAAGTAAATAAATAATCATATATATGCTACTAAAATAGTGTGAACCCATCCACAGGGAAAGAGCAAGAATTAAGACAATTAAGCACGAAATCAGACACATTACTTTGGCAATTTATATCTTACACCAGCGCATTGCATTTTACATCCTGATGTAAAACGACGTCGTTTTAGATTTTTTTTTTTTTTTGAAATTTCATTATCTTGTGTTGTCGGTTAATTTTTTTTTTTTTTTTTTTAAATCTCAGGTTAAAAAATGTACATAATTTTATACTAGAATACACATAATTGTATACATGAATGTACATAATTGTATAACAAAATACACATACTTTAAAAAAAAAAAAAAAGATAATGCATATAGTCTAACATAACTTCCGTTATTTTTTCCATTTTGTTACCATGCACACATCCACCATATATTTTCTTATATTCTTTAATGATAATAATATTTGTAGGCATTATATAATGAATTATTATAATAAATAAATTTGATTTCATAAGAGAGGTCGGGAGTTTGAACCCCCTCTCATATGAAAAAAATCAATCTGGCCAACACTTTGGCCCTTAATTAGGCCGGACGGGTGCGAACAGAGATTAGTGCCTTATATAGTTAGAGCCTGCTCAAGATACCTCGTGGTCCTACCAAATCAGAAATTAACTCATAAATTTTTTTAGTTTTTTTATAGTTATTTTGAGTACAAATTAAAACCCATATTAGACATGATGATCAAATTATCATTACCTCTGGATTTCAATATAAATGAATAATAATGTGGATGTTGAAGTTAGTTTGTTGGGTCTGCCTAGTTCGCGTATGACATATTTCTATGGCTATCACATAATGAAAAAGATAACCAAAGTTATAATGGTAGATATATTTTTATTCAAAAAAATTATATAGTACAACTCTACAAGCACAATATATAAAATAATTAGTATTAAAAATATAGACATAAATAAGGAATATAACTTTGATTAAGACTTATTATGGATTTAAATATTTAATTTAATTTCTATCATAAGAGGATGATTTTTTGGGATCCATAATATTTTTTGCCACGTACAAAATAATAGTAAGGGAAAATACTTGGTAAACTCTCATTTTATACTTCAATTTTTACTTCCTCTCACAAGTTCTTGATGTAGACATTTTTCTGTGGATCCATGATGAAAATAACCAATCATTATTTGCCACATCAGGGAGTAGAAATAATGGAGTAGAATTTGAGAGTATGTATAATATAACTCAATAATAAGAGAGCGAAGATTGAGTGTTCATGTAGAACAACTATGGAGGAAGCTAAGATACGTAGGGTATGTTTGGTTCATAGGTTTACACACTAGGAATGAGAATCAAAATCATAGTTAGTGTTTGGTTGATAACTTTTTAAAACACAACTATGAGATTTGACAATAGTTATGCTATGAAACCGTGTTCACCATGCGCATGGTGAACATGCAATAGATCCATAATTTCTAAGCTGTAGATTCATAATTTCTATATTGTAGATTCATAACATCTATACTGTAGATTCATAATTTCTATAGTGTAGATTTATAATTTCTGTACTGTAGATTCATAATATCTGTACTGCGAAGATGAAATAATGCGATTGCGAAGAGAGAAACGTTGTTAACAATAAATGAAAAATAAAATTATGAATCTACAGCATAAAAATTATGGATCTACGGATCTACCCCTGTGTTCACCATGCGCATGGTGAACACGTTTCCACAGCATAATTTGTGGAGATTTGATTACTCCTTCAATTAAAAGTCACATTTCTTAATTTAAAAAAAAAAAAAAAAAGAGTAGATACCCAAAATGGTCCCTCGACTATAGCTAAATTCACAAATTGGTCTTCGACTTTCAATTTTAACCAATTAAGTCCTTAACTTTGTAATTTTGACACGATTTGGTCCTCCATCTATTTGACCGTTTGTTGACCGTGATCTTTGAGGATATATATGTAGTTTCACGTGCAAAGCTCAAGAGAACGCTCTTGGAGGTGACATCGTTGTTTCGGAGGGGGAAGTGCTTCTCCACTTGCTGCTTGGGGATCACGAGCCGGTTCAGCTTAGAGAACGCTCTTGGAGGTGACAGCGCCGTTCCGGAGGGGGGGAAGTGCTTCGATCTCCGCTTGCTGCTTGGGCATCCCGAGCCGGTTTAGCTTGCCTACATCGCTTGGAGTCACGGCTTTCTCGAAGACCCACTCCAGGGACTTCGGCGATCTATCTATCAAAAGCTATAATCTCTCCGGCATGGGGTGCAGTGTCGGCAGTGGATTCAAATGTAACAGTGCGATCTAGAAATGCAACCGGAACCTTAAAAAACCGACGATGGACCATGAAATTACATATATATCCTAAAAAAGCGCAATCAACAAACGGTCAAATAGACAAAGGACCAAATTGTGTTAAAATTAAAAAGTTAAGGACTTAATTGGTTGAAATTAAAAGTCGAGGATCAATTTGTGAATTTAGCTATAGTCGAGAGACCATTTTGAGTATTTACTCAAAAAAAAAAATATCATTCCATCTTATTGGTAATATGATTTTTAAGTTTGAATAAATGCTTTTAAATTTTTGTTTTGATTTTTATTGTTCATATTGATATTGATATTTTGGATTCATTATATTAAAATCAATTGTTTTTTGATTTTTTATTATTTTTAATTTTAAAACCTTTATTCTGTTACAAATATTATTAATATGGAAATTATTATATATATGGTAGCAGTTGTAACTGATAAGGTTACTACCTTTTATATGTATTCATTACCTTATATTTGTAATACCTTTGTATAAGTATTCAGTATGATGAATGAGAATCTGAACTTTCCCTCTCCTTTCTTTGTCTATTCTAATATTCTTACAACATATTCATTATATTATAATTAGGTCATATATAACCAAATTGATAATCATTCGAATTATGCCATTCCACAAAAGTAAAATTCATATCATTACCAAAGATTTGATTCTTATTACTATTTTGATTCCTGAGCCAACCGATTCAAACACACCCATAATGTTTACGTTAACTTGGGATAAGATATAACGATTATATCCTATATATACGCGAAATGTGATGCTGATGTATAGTAGCTCTTCTGGTCTCCATACGTGAGTCGTTCTTATACTTTCTGGAGAGAAACTTGTATCTTCGTTTCTGATTCTGATAAACACACACACATAGAGAGAGAGAGAGAGAGAGAGAGAGAGAGGATCGATCATATCGAGTGTTCATTTGGCAGTTAGTAAAATGGTGAGAAAAATGGGGGGAGAAAATGGAGAATCAGAATCATCAGGAGTGAGGAGGAGATCTCGGTTTTGTTCATGCACAAAGGACGATTTTCTCCCCGAGGAATCGTTCAGGAGCTGGGGCAACTACGTGAATGCGCTGAAACAGACTCCGTCGCGGCTGGTGGATCGGGTTTTGAGCCGCTCCGACGACAAGGCGGAGCTGGCCGCCAAGTCCCGGAGCAACCACGACATGAAGAAGAGTCTCACATGGTGGGATCTGATATGGTTCGGCATGGGGGCCGTGATCGGCGCCGGAATATTCGTTCTCACCGGACTGGAGGCGCGGGATGATGCTGGACCCGCCGTTGTCCTCTCTTACGTCGTCTCCGGTATCTCTGCTTTGCTCTCTGTCTTCTGCTATACTGAGTTCGCCGTCGAGATCCCTGTTGCAGGTATTCGATCACCATAACTTACACTTTTTTATTTCATTTTTTTCCTTCCTTTCCTAGTAACAATTTCAAATCACACTTTTTTTTTTTCTCCTTCTATAATCACACTTTCCATCCCTCAATTATTTACTCCGTATTATACAATTTAATTTATAATTTTCAATTTTAGTAATATAATCCTCATTTATTTTACAATATTATAAATCTAATCTCTTAATATATATAAAATAGTCAACTCATCTCAATACTTTACTTATATCAACTTCTATTTCAAAATTTTGAGGGATTTACATCAGGGAATGACTAAATTTGTTACGTGATATAATAGTTGATATCATATTAAAATTAAAAAGGGAAAAATGTAATTTTAGTCTCTCAATTGCATCCATAACTTTTTACTTAGAATATGAACATTTTTAAATTTTATTATTTTTATTCTTTATAATATTGTATTTTTATTATTTTATAGGTAAAATAGAGATTTGAGAACATTCTTCTCTATTCTTTTTAAAATTTTAATCATGGCACATCATCTCTATTTTTCATACATGACTTTGTTAAAATCTTTTTTTTTTTTTTTACAAATATAATATTAAAATTAAACAAGATTATAATTAAAGAAGAAACACTAAAAAAATACTAAAATAATTTGTTAAAATCATATATATTTTTATTTTACAATTGTGGCACATCATCCCTATTTTTCATATATATTCCATACATGACTTTGTTAAAATTATATATATTTTTATTTTACAAATATAATATCAAAATTATAATTAAAGAAAAAACATTAAAAGTAACATAATTTAATAATTTTGTTACCCTAACTAGCAGTTAAAACCTCACTATATATTGCAACTTTAAAAAGTTAGGACTAAAAAATTTGGTAAAAAATAATTGATGGACTAAAATTGCATTTACCCCAATTAAAAATGGGGATTAATTGCATTATAATTTGTAATTGTGGAAGCAAAAGTGAAGTATCTTTTTTTTTTTCGAGATGAAAAGTGAAGTATCTATTATTATTATTATTATTATTATTATTATTATTATTATTATTATTATTATTATTATTATTATTATTATTATTATTATTATTATTATTATTATTATTATTATTATTATTATTATTATATACTTTTTTTACTCGGATTGTATTTTTTTTTTTTAGTACTATGATGATGATGATGATTTGTGTCAGGTGGTTCATTTGCGTATCTAAGGGTAGAGTTAGGTGACTTTGTGGCCTTCATAGCCGCCGGAAACATCCTTCTGGAATATGTGATCGGCGGAGCGGCAGTGGCTCGGTCCTGGACATCTTACTTGGCCACTCTCTGCAACCAGCATCCCGATTCTTTTCTCATCAAAGCTCATTCTTTAGCAGAAGGCTATAACAAGCTCGACCCCATTGCCGTTGGAGTTTGCATAATCATCTGTTTCTTAGCAATTCTCAGCACAAAGGGCTCTTCTCGCTTCAACTACGTTGCCAGTATCGTCCACATAATCGTCATTTTGTTCATCATAGTATGTGGCCTCATCAAAGCCGATACCACCAACTATACACCCTTTGCGCCGTTTGGTCCCCGGGGGGTTTTCAAGGCGGCGGCTGTGCTGTTTTTTGCGTATGTGGGTTTCGATGCGGTTTCCACCATGGCGGAGGAGACCAAGAACCCGGGGAGAGATATTCCGATTGGGTTGGTGGGGTCGATGGTGATTACAACCACTATTTACTGCTTGATGGCGGTCACTCTGTGTTTGATGCAGAAGTATGATAGTATTGATGAAAGTGCACCGTTCTCGTTGGCTTTCAGGAGTGTTGGGTGGTCGTGGGCTCAGTACTTGGTTGCTTTTGGGGCTTTGAAAGGGATGACCTCTGTGTTGCTGGTGAGTGCAGTTGGGCAAGCGCGGTATCTAACCCACATTGCGCGAACCCACATGATGCCGCCCTGGTTCTCCCATGTTAATGCCAAGACTGGGACTCCCGTGAACGCCACCGCTACAATGATGTTTGCCACTGCGGTGATTGCCTTGTTCACGAAGCTCGACATTCTGGCCAACCTCCTCTCCATCTCCACGCTCTTCATCTTCATGCTCGTGGCGCTTGCTCTCCTCGTGCGCCGCTACTATGTCGCTGGGGTCACTATGCCCCACGACCGCCACAAGCTCATCCTCTGCATCTTCCTCATCCTTGCGTCTTCGATAGCCACGGCTGCTTACTGGGGTTTGAGTGAAGACGGGTGGATTGCCTACTGTATAACGGTTCCGGTATGGTTCCTGGCAACCGCGGGGCTTTATTTCTTCGTTCCTCATGCTCGCAATCCTATGCTGTGGGGGGTGCCTCTGGTGCCCTGGCTGCCGTCTTTGTCCATTGCCATCAACATTTTCCTCCTTGGCTCCATAGATAAACAATCTTTCGAGAGGTTTGGTATTTGGACTGCTATTCTTCTGCTTTACTACCTCTTCTTTGGCCTTCATGCATCATATGACACTGCAAAGGAAGTAGAAAAGAATCAAGGGCTTGGGAAGATTGAGGAGGGAGATAATGCCCCTTCTGCTCCAAATTCCCCTCAAAATTAGTAGTCTGCAGCTAAATATAATCTCCAATTGTGCTGTCCAATCTCCACACATTGTTTCTTATATCAAGGATTCATTATTAAAATTTCAGTTGTGTACATATTCTATATCTCAACAAAATGGGAAAGGTTTTACGAGTGAAATCAAATCAAGATTTTATAAATGTCATAAAACTATGTTCAACCGCATTCTTCTTAACAATTACAACCCTGAATAAACAAATCTAAGCCCTAAAAACAATCACAATCTTATGAGTTCATACATCATTCCCTCCCTCTAAAACCTATTTACTCGCACACTCCATGATACACACAATACCTGGGGCAAGAAAAATTAGAACCTTAACAAAATAATACCCCCATTTAGTGCATCTAGAGAATACCATACACATTAATTTACAACATTGTATGAGCCTATGTCTCTATCTTCAGAAGAGAATTGAGGGATGTACTGTTGAACCGCTGTGCGAGGCCCCGGATAACAAGGACAATTATGTCTCGCAGGTGGCGTGTCTGCACTAACAAGTCAACTTCATTTTCACTGTCAACCACGATCCTGAGACGGTGTTGATCGGTCCGAAATAGCTCCACCTGCAAAATATTGATATTATTGTGATACCAGGTTCTATTATTTTTTATTGAGATAGTCACATAACTTCCTAAAGTTATAATCATAATGTTAAGATGAGATACTTAGCCTTCAGATTTTCAACAATTGTAAAATGCCTTAGGAAATGTTAGTCTTCATAGAATTAAAAACACTAGATGGTGCTGTAAATAATAATAATAACAAACAATAATAACCATAGGCTTATGGTGGTGCTTGTATATGAATGAAAATATGGCTTGACCATTACACTTTTGAATTTGAAATGTCTTAAATATAGTTTTGTTATATCCCTATGTGCCTATTAAATGCTTGAAGTTGCTTATGATGCTTGTTATAGAATATATATTTAATATATGGAATCTCTATAGATTAGGCAGTTTTAGAAATTTAGGTAGGTAGGCATATGGAAACTTATTTCCTATTCGAAGTCTTCTAGCATGTATTTATAAGGCTTTGTATTCTCTTTTCTATACGACAACATATTCAGAAATCTTCTCTTTACTTTCGTAACAATGCTTTAATGGTTCTATGACTTATCACCAGACAAAAGGGGAGAATAATATGCTATATATGTGCTCTCATTTAGGCTTTGACAAGCTGGTTGCATATGCATATACTCCTGTAAGGAGATCCGATCATCCATTGCTTCACTACAAATTACAATGTCTTCAATTCTTAGCGCCTCCACATTCTACCGTATTTATCACATTGTGCAATTGCCTACTTAGTTGATATTATCATATTTAAGGTGTGGTTACCTCCCTGACCATCCTGAGTGCTCAATTTAATCTACTCTTCATTTATACCAATTTTAGTGCTACTTTGATCACATAGTGTTGCCTAAAATACAATAGATTATGATTAAAAATCACAATTATAATAGCCTTATTCACCAACTCTTCGTAGGGTACATAGGGACTTTAAAATTGAAATGACTAAAGTTGAGTAACTTACATGGAAAGGAGGGGCATAAGTGCCTCGAATTTCAGTTGTGGGAAATGAAGTTTTAGAACCAGGCTTCACAACCTTAACCCTCTTTCTGTTAACCTCCAAAATTCTTCTTTCGAGACTTCCAGCCCCAGGAAGCTGCAATGTATATAAAATTTGTTCATCTCTTATCATTATGCACCAGGAAAAAAAAAAAAAAAAAAAAAAAAAAAAAAAAAAACAAATGATAAAAAACATGGTAATACACTAATACCTTCTTAGAAGATCGTTCCTTGTCACACAAGGCCTGCAATCATGCACCAAAATGCAAAAGGTTTCATTATTTGAGCACAGGGAGTGGGTAGCAAGAAGGAACTAGAAAACATTAATTAAAAAATAAAATAAATAAATAAATAAGTGATTTGAAAAGAATAGGAGGCAATGCATATACTCTATGTTGTAATGAAAAGCTAATTCAACAATAGATTGTATATTACACCAATGCCACAAAATCATATCTTGCTAGATAAGAGCTTTGAGTTTGTAGTCTGATCCTTTCTTCAATTTAGTAATAATACAAGTATCTGCTCACAAATAGATGAGGAAGTAAATCTCTAGATCTCTAACCATTTACCACTTCCAAATTCTGACTATATTAATCAGTTAAAGACTCTTCATTCATTAACTCTAGGTTCTCTTTCAATTCTTCTTTGATTTTTATCCCCCCTTCATAAAGGAAACTTTTGTAGGACACAACTTTGAAGCAGAACTCTGGCTTTGAATTGATATTACAAAAACCAATGTTGGCATCTTAACAGCATGTCCTTTCATCATTGGAGCCAATAAAATGTCTATTTGAATGTCCCAATTTAAGACAAATAATGGACATCTGAGACAACACACAAAAAGGCATTGTCATGTATAAGCAAGCTCAGCCAGTGCACTGAATGATATAAGAAGTTTTTGTGCAAAGGTGGAAATGAGCTGCACAAAGGAAATGCAAAAGCAAATGTGAAACGTGAAATGGGACATAATAGAAAGGATTGACATAATCGACAGCCATACTTGGAGGTAATACCAGCTAAAATAATATCTCTAGCACAAAGAATCAAAATGCACATAACAAATACAGAACAGGTGAGCAACACAAGGAGTACAAATGATTAATGATAGCACGTTAAAAGTTCCAAATTTGAAGTATAGTATGTTATCATTGTGATTGTCATAATAGTGCCTTTGAATATTAAAAAAGACAGTACACAAATTAACAGAAAAAGGATCCTCATAATCATATAAAGGGATAATGGCATATGGTTCAGAAATGAATTTCAGGAAGTAGGCCAGCACCTCAAACTTCACCGATCCAATCTCAAGTTTCTGCTTCACTTCTTTAAGGACATCAGGCTCTGCAAATGGTACAAAATTAACATCAATTAGAGTACAACACATTTGTAAGGTGGAAACTTCCTGACATTCAGCTTCTCAAACACAACCACCCCTGCTGGACTACAAGAATAGGACCAGAACCAGAATATAAGATCTCCAACAGGTCAAATAGGCCTAGAAGGGGAGAGTAGTACAACAACAATAACAATCTGATATACCAAAAAGACTATTTCTTAGCGTGTGCACATCAATGTATGTTTATATATTACTCAGTTTCTTGGAACAGATATGTTAAGTGAATAGTAAGTGATCAAGTGAGGACATTTCCAAATAGTGGGATATCTTTCATTTAAAACATCAAAATTGAGAATATACATATCTATACACTATACTAAGTGAATCTTATAAGGAAACATAAAGAAATTGAACACATATAAGTATTGGGTGATGAACTGGTGATGACAGTTGTGGCAATTTACCTACTGCAATTGGATCTGTAGATGCAGAAACAGGCTGTCCCTCAACTCCATCTTCTCTTACAGGGGTATAAATCACCACTAGCCTATAGCCCACATCATCAACGTTAGCTTCATACATCCTTCCTGTCTCCCCTGCCAACAAAAAATGGGGGGATAACAGAACTTCAGCATCCTTAATTCTTGATCAAAGTGCACTAAAGAGCTCATGCTAGTTACCTTTGACCTCTACAACTATACATACTTTGCACCTAGCTAACTAGGTCAGGAATGCATACCCAGTTTGCATACCCTTATCAGTTTTGAAGTAACATTAAATTTTAGCCAGGCCACAATGGCCACATCAAACTAACAGTCTAACATGATAGGCTGAGTCCATAACTTTTTTAAACTGTGATTTCAACATTACCTTAATGCTAAAAAGTGACTAATTAATGTAGGAAATTTGATAATTTTCATGGATTTCTGCAGCCGAATGGCCCGGATAGAGGGGAAAAAAATAAAAAAGCAAAAAGACAGTTACTAAAATTGATACTTTAGCATACCTGGAATAGAAATGAGATCAGGACTTCCAACCATTGATCTAAGCCACTGGATTTTACTTTTACCCTCCTTTCCACCACTATAAATACCACGAAATGCAAACAAATTGGTGTGAAAACCTCTTCCCTCAATCTCTAGCTTATCCATCCTAGGAATACCTGAAATAAGTAGAATTTTGTCAGTTTGTAACCACTGTAACTATGACAATCAAGTGAAAAAGAGCTTTCAGAAAACAAAAAAAAAACAAAAAAAAACAAAAAAGAAGGAAAAAAAAAAAATCTGATATCAAATTGCAGAGAAGCAAATCAAGCAATATTCAATTGTGACTTCAGAAAAAGAACTGAACCCCAAAGCAAGGGGAAAGATCAACCAGAAGTTCATGTCAAGCAAGCAAAAGGGTAAAGGCATTCACAATTGATAGAAGGATGCTTAACCCTGCATAACTAGCTACTAACCAATGAACTTTATCTTTTAACAAATGATAGATTTCAAGTAATGCTTCATTAATTAAAGGGTAAAAACCTGGCAAAATAGAAGCAGTTTCGGCATATGCTGGTTCACTTGACCTTCCAAAAACATCAGTCACAATGCATTCACACCTAATAGAATGGCCTATGTCCTCAAACCGAACCTTGTATGAACAAGAATGTTGCGACGGTAAAGGCTCAAAGGAATTTTCACTTCCATTTTCAGATGAAATGAACCTGCAGTATCTCATTGTATCAAAAGCTTTTCTCTTTTTAATATACCGAAAAAGATATTCTTGTTTAAATGTTAATAACTGTATTCAACTGTGAAAAAAAACATGTGATATTAGCGCTACTTGAAGATCTCACAATCAATAGGAAACCCTTAAAAGATCTTTCTTAATCTAGTAAATTGTCAAATGCAATATGGTCTATTTACAACCAATATTAAGCAAGATGAACAACTATTCACACCAAACAAATCAATTCAAGAAAAAAGCAAGTTAATAAATATCAAATTTCTCATCAACTCATGAGATTAATATAACACAATTAGGATCCACAAGAACCTAGAAAAGTATCTTTTTCAGATTTAAAAAAAATAAATCAGTTTCATACTATTGGTGTTCCTTTTGTTGAAACACAAAAGATGTGTCTGTAGAAATATGTCTGTTGAGTAGTGTAGAGTTGTG